TTCCACCTCTTCCTCCTCCTCCTGTTGGGGGGTCGTCTTATACGGCCGATCGCCTTGTGCGCCGGCAAATACTGTAGAATTGAATATTTGATTGCAGTTTCATGATTCAAAGAGAAAACAAATGAATGCACCCTGAGGTGATGTCACTGAATGCGAATTATTTTAGGGCCCAAAGTGCAATAAATATTTTGCCAGACAAGATTTAGTGCTTAAGATAGTTGTTCCTATAACAATTTAGTCACACTTTCATTCTTCTACAGTATTTTCATGAAGCTGTGTGACCTGTAATCCTAAACTGTTAACTATATTACTGTTAATTTTATACAATGGTAAAATATTGATGTCAGCCTTAGTCGCTATTTAGAAATGAATGTTTGATTTCAATAAAACTTTGATGCTGGCATTTGTAGGATTATTACTGTGATACATAGTTTCACATATGTTTTGGGATTTCTTCTATATTAGCAGTATAGCTTATGTGCTTTTATTATTTACAGTAATTTTAATATTGCGTTACCTTGTCAATAAAGTATTGGGAAATAGTGGAAGTTCTGTTGGTAACATAATATAATTTGTCAGTACAGAATACAGTGGTACCTCAACTTACGAACATCTGCACTTACGAACATTTCGAGTTACGAACGGCTCCGTTCACAAAATGTTGCTTTGACTTGTGAACGGAGTCTGGACTTGCAAACGAAAAAAATCTTTCCTGCCCTTTTTTTGACCTAAGTTCATCTTTGGTCAAAAGAAGAAAAAATTAAAAAATTCTCCGCCTAGTGGGAGAGTATGGATTAACCGGCTTTGCATTAGTTCCTATGGGAAGTAATGCCTCTACTTGCAAACAGCGCCTTGACATAAGAATGAAAAACAACCGGTATGGATTAAATGGTATTCAGTGCATTCCTATGGGAAATGGTGCTTCGACTTACGAATTTTTCGACGTACAAATGCCGTTCCAATACAAATTACGTTTGTAAGTTGGGGTACCACTGTATAGACTTAAGAAAAACTGACTCTGTACAGTGGACCCTCGACTTACAGACGGCTCGACTTACAGACTTTTCGAGTTACAGACTTCTCTGGCTGCAAGATTTAGATTCGACTTGCAGCCAGAGAATCGATTTACAGACCAGAAAAAAACCAAAATGGAATAAAAATAGAATAAAAACCACTGGTTATGGGATTAATCTGTTTTCAGTGCATTGTAGGTCAATGGAGATTCGACTTACAGACTTTTCGACTTGCAGCCACCATTCCAATACGGATTCATTCCTTAAGTAGAGGGTCCACTGTACTTTCTTGTGGAGAAAATAAAAATATTTCTGCTTAGCATTTTGGATTAGAGGTAGATACATTTTTGGCCTTTGAAAGTGATTGAAGTCTAGTCTTGTACCTATCTACTTAGGACCAAATCTCGTTGAGTTCACTCACATTTATTACCAAATAAATAGATGGACTGGAATTTAGACTGATGAACATTACAGAGTGAAATAAACTGGAGTGAGGCAAGGTGTGGCATATTTAAAGAGATTTGGATTTCAGCTCTCATGAGCACAACTAACATGGGTGTGCATGGTTGCAAAAGCCTAATTTAAATGTTCAAAATTAAAGGTAAACCAGAAGTCTGGAATGCCAGTTTTTAAATTAGAATAAGTGTCATTCTCTGCTGTCACTGTTGAAACGCACTGTTTATGCAAGTTGCCCCTCCAGGGAGCTATCAGACTTTGTTATACTTTTAAAAAATAATTACATTCTTTTTTCTAATGAAAGTTGTATATTTTCAAAGTTGTATATTGTAACTGAATTTATTCTTTTTTAACTTATAAAAACAGCTAAATGGAGTCTGAGCAGCTGTTCCATAGAGGTTATTACCGGAATAGCTACAACAGCATAACTAGTGCAAGCAGCGATGAAGAACTTTTAGATGGAGCAGGTGTCATCATGGATTTTCAGACCTCTGAAGATGATAATTTGTTAGATGGTGATGCATGTATTGGTAAGTCAGCAAATCATTGCTTGATGACCTTAAATCTACTTTTTTGACATTTTGGGGATAGGCATTTTACAATACAGTGGTGCCTCTCAAGACGAATGCCTCGCGGGATGAAAAACACGCAAGACGATTGTTTTTTGCGATCGCTATGGTGCCTCGCAAGGCGGTTTCTTCCATGGCCATGCTTCGCAAGACGTTTTTTTCCCCGATGCCTCACAAGATGAATAAATTTCATTCGTCTTGCGAGGTTTCCATAGGGAACCTCGCAAGACTATTTTTTTGCAAGACAGCACTTCTCATGGAATGAATTACATTCAGCTTGCGAGGCACCACTGTATACATGTGATGTGGTATTGCAGCAGATCTTTTTTAGCACATGGACGTGATATGACTTATCAGCTCAACTTAGTTCATGGTTTACTTTGGTGGCTATGCCTTGGACTCGTGTGCTAGAATTTTAATTTCTATGGGTTCTTTTGATCACTATAGTTGAGTGAAGATTGTACAAATTGGGGTTGGTGTAAATCATAGTTGGATTCCACACTCAAACTGAAACCGTATTTTGTATTATGGTTTCAGTTTTAAGGCAAATTATGCTTTGTGGTAAATACAGGTTTCTTCAAAACAGACCCAGCTGTAAATAGTCACAAACCAGGAAAAGATTGGAAGAGGAGCCATACAAAGCAAGGAGCATATGAGCCCAAGGTGTAACACTGGTAACAAAGCTGCAGTTTCAACCTAATGTCTGATCTAGACGAGATGTTTATTGTTAAAGTAATATTGACATGAATGGTGTTACTAGGAACAAGCATGCCTTAAGAAATAAATAAATTAACAGATTCATTCTTATTTGTGTGGGCTATCCATGATCAAATTGTCATTTTAATTTTATTAAGAATTTTTTTTAAAAAAATTGTACTTTCATTGGTCGCTTTTATAAAACTAATTGTTGTATAGAACTTGTTGAAAGACTCTCAACCTAATGTTGTATTGTGTTACATTTTATGTCTATTGCAATATTGTTGGTCTCTACATTTATACACCATTGGAACTGGATGCTGTCTTCCATTATATATCAGCCTTATAGGAACCATGCCCATATGTACCACCCCCTCTTGTCTCCAGGGCTTGTTCTGAATATGTTTAGTAGATGGTTACATGTTGAGACTGAGCATTTACCCCCCTCCATTTCTTCTACTTGTAATGCATAGGTGACATAGGACGTATGCATTTAACTACGATAACATGTACATTTGATGTGTCTCTCTTTTCTGAACTGAGGGAACAGTTCTGGTTAGCCAAAATAACTGAAGGCTAGTCGATGACATTAGACCTGCTGAAGCAGGGCTGGATCCAAACCTCTCTCAGCCTAGCAATGTTGGAAATTACTGAAAATTACTTTTAATTTGTCCTCACATTGTGGTTGAGTCCTTCAGCGAAAGGCAATTTGGATCTCAAATCCTTTTCATCCCCCTCTGTATTGGCTGTTCTGTTACAGTGATGCCTCGCCTTACGGAATTAATCCGTATTGGAACGGTGGCCGCAACTCGAAATTTTCGTTAAGTCGAAGCACCATTTCCCATAGGAATGCATTGAAAACCAATTAATCCGTTCTGGCGGAAGAAAAAAAATGCAAAAAAAGAGAGAAAATAAACATAGCAAGTCCCACACTGGAACTGCAAAAAACACACCAAAAACCAAAACAACACAGAAACATAACCCCCACAGCCCAAACCTACCCTCCAAAACCCACCCAGAATAGTTTTTTAAAAAAGAAAAAGCAGCACCTTATCAATCCGAAGCGTCCCAGGCTTCCACTGCTGCTGTGACCTCCACTGCTGGGTGGCTTTAGACTGGCTGGGGTGCTTCGGCCACTCGCCTCCCGGCTCGCCTCCCACTTACTCCGCGCCACCCTCTGTGGGCTGATGGCAGGAAATTCAAATGGCGGAGGGCGGCGAGGAGCGAGCGGGAGGCAAGTGGCCGAAGAAACACAGCCAGCTCAAGACTCCCAGCTCTGGGCGACCGCTGCCTCCGCCACGGCCGGGAGTGAGCAGCTGAAGAAACCCGGTCAGCTCAAGCCTCCCGGTACTGGTTCACCACTGCCTCCGCGGTCACAGCGATGGGGAAGCCCGGGAGGCTGGGCCTCCCTTTTCCTAACCCTTGGGACGAAGAAGCAGCCTCTTCACCACCAATGGTTAGTAAATTTAAATTTCCCACCCTTTTCCCCTGCCTTTTTTCTTTCATAAGTGGAAGCTCCGTCCTCAAGTCAAAGCAAAATTTTGTGGCCGGAGCTTTCCGTAAGTCCAAATTTTCATAAGTAGGGACATCTGTAAGTCGAGGCACCTCTGTATCTGATTTTAGATAGCACTACAGTTATGCCTGCAGATCCTTATGCCAACAGATCTTTGACTTTGGCCAGTACAAGGACACAGAAGGCTTTTGATTGGAGATGGGGCTATTTGTATATGAATATGCCCACATAGCTGAAGTTAATGAGGATCCGGCCCTTGAGGCTAGACAGTCCACCCACATGTCCACTGGCAGGGGCGGCCCTTCTCAACCTTCCAGTTGCTCCTGAGAGCCGCTCTCTTAGCCACTCCTGGCAGAAAGGGGGGGGGACAAGTCTCCCTGCAAGGCTGCCGAGTGGCTAGCTGAGCGGCACTCCAGAGCAATTGGAAGGAAGAGAGGGACCGCTGGCGCTGGATGCATGAGTGGACGGTCTGCCCCCAGGGGCTGGACCCTTGTTAACTCCAGCTGCGTGGGGATATTCGTTTATGTATACAAATACCCCAATTTCTACTTCTGACCTTTCAAATCCCATGTGTCCATCTTGCGTGGGGATTTTCGTTTACGTATACAAATACCCCAATTTATACTTCTGACCTTTCAAATCCCATGTGTCCATCACATATTTAAATTGGGGTTGTGCTGTAAGTGGCTAGAATGATATTTTCAGATGTTGTTGAGAAAGCTAAGTGAAAGAGAAAGCTAAGTGAACTGAAAGCCACAGTTGGTAAAATCACGCACTGATAATGCCTGAGAACATTTAAGAAGAAAATAAGAAAGATAGGAACAATAACTTACAAATATTTAGGCTTGGGGAAACATGTTGACAGGTTATGGATACATTACAGGAAGAAAATGTTTAAGACTACAGTGGTGCCCCGCATAGCGAGGTTAAGAAAAGGGAAATCTAAAATGTGTCAGGTTGTTTAAGGGTGCAGTGGTTTTGGTTTTTTTTGTTCATATTTAGCATAACATATTTATTTGAGATAATGGAATAGTCCCTCAAGAAAAAGATATATTTTGGGGATTTTTAAGGAATCAATTGCTACCCCACTAGGAAATGCTACCCCACTAGGAAATATTTTTACAAACTCAAGATGGGGACTAAGGATCTCACTTTCCCTAGAAAAGTTAGGTGTTTTAGCTATGGTCTGAGCTTTATACCTAAATGAGGCAAATCAAATGAATTAGTGAGTCATCTCACCCTTTTGGTAGTTGTACACACTGCCAAGTTTAAATAATGGTGGTTTGCAAAACAAAGCTATCCTGTATGTGAAATACACAAGTGTGATCATGCCGCTTGTCATCTACCTCCCTTTTCTCTACTTTGTCCAAAGAAGAATTCATCACATCCAATTCTTCTAATAAAACCGGTTTATTGTTTAACATGGCTTCTTTGATTTTTTGGTCTTGTTTGTCATCATCCAACTTCAACAACAGATCATAAGTCTTTACATTATTAAAACTAGATATCTCTTCGTGGTAAGACAACGGGGAATAACTGTTAACTTTTTGGGTCCATTTGGGTCTGGCACCCATCAACTCTGGTGTCCTTGCAGCCCACTTCAAGTTTGTAGATGGGATGTCGTAGTTGCCTGCAGTCCCCCATTTGTTGAGCCACGTATCTTTCTCTGTTGGGGTTTGAAGGGGCTGGGCCCACGGGACTTCTTGGGAATCACTATACATTTTTGTCTTTCTCTCATTTGTTCTTCTCTCTTCACCCACGCCCTATAGTCCTTCCTTTGCTTTCGCTCCTCAGTCTCCCCCCAGTATGGTGGCTTTCTATACATTTGTTGCCTCCATTCCCTTTAGGCATACTCACCTTGAACTCTACAGTCTTGTCCAAGGATCTTCCTGGATCAACTCTGCTAGCTCTTCCTTTTTCTCTCCTTTCTCCTCTCTTCCCCAACATGCTTCTGATTCCTCCCCTCCTTTTCTCTCCTTCTTATCCTCTTCCTTTCCCGCCTGATTTGTGCCCCCTTTAGCCTCTTCTTTTATTTCTAGTTTACTTAATTCCTTTTCTGTCACTTGTGTCTCTTGTGCTTCTTCCTTTACTTGAGAGTCAGACGGTACACTCTCCTGATCCTGGGTGAGGTGGCTTGTCGCCTCACAAGTTATCACATGTTGGTTTGTAAAAGTTTCCTCATGTAAATGGAGGATGTCACTGGCTGGCTAGTGCTGGGAGGCTTGCCGACTACTGACATTGCTGGGATGGAGGCAGCAGCTGAGAGTCTTTGCCCACTAGACATGCTGCAGAAACGAAGCCACTGAAGCTGCCCCCTCCTGGGTGGGCAAGAAAAGTGTTGCTGGCAGACTGATGGTGGCAGGCTTCCAAGGTACCTTGCCATCACCTCACCATGCCAGCGAGTTGCAGAAGTCCTACTATGGTTTAAAAAGTGTGGATTAGACACCATTTTAAAACTGCAGTAGGACTTGCATTATGGGCAGCAACAGGAGTTGCTGCTAATTCCACCTAGTGTATAGTTTCATCTTCGGACAGGAAAATTAACAAGGTTTCACGTGTGTGCTAGAAGATAAGCAATTGCTTGAATCCAGCATACTGTACTTGATTTTGCAGCAGATATGTATGTCTGTTTATGTGACAGCTGCTTCTTTCGTGTTTTGAGTATATTTCTGTGCAAAATAAGATACAGTAACTCCACTTCTACTCTTCATCTTTTTTGTCTGTGTGCATAGCGGAAGATTTGGAATGATAC